GATTTATTTTCAACTCAAAATATCTTCAAACTAACGAAATATAAAGTTATTAATGAAGAAAACCCGTCTGACTGGCTGTTCATAAAATATACGACAGGTCTGGACCACTCGTAAATTTTGTTCATATCTGAAAAAAATCTTAGAATACGAAAACATTGGTGAATGTCACAAATTCTCCTAAATCACTCGTACGCACAACTTAAGAACAAATCTGTGCGTACGAACGGTTCTTGCATGAGGCCCATTGTCTCCAAACTGAGGTTGTTCAAAAAGCTATCTACAACAGGTAAGATATTTATTGTCAACTTTTACACAGGACCTCTAAAATGACTGGGATACCCCTTTAACTACTTAGTCAGTCTTGTTCCATTTTTTAAGTCTTACTCTGATTCTCCTCATCGCAGCAACGATCTCCATCCGGCTGCCGGGTCGACCCACCTCCAGACTGCCGATGTACTGAAACACAGAGTCCACACATCAACACTTTAACTGGTTGTGTTTTCTATTGTTTCATCATCGCTCAGAGTCAAACACCTGGGATTATTTCATGAATCAAAGCACCGAGAAGACCTCTGTCAACTTGTGATGACATCATTTGTTTTGTTGACCAACAACCAGCCAGGCTGCAGCTTCATCACAACCACATCTATTTAGGAGCAAAAACATGAAGCTGACAGAAAAGCTGCTGGATCCTGGCTCCGTCAGCCTGTCTCCAGACTGAACAACACACCTGGAATAAAACACCTGGAATAAAACACCTGGAACATGAAGAAAAGTCAAAGAGCTCAAACCTCTTCCTCTGAATCTTATAAAGTCAATCACAGCTGAAAATGATCATCACAGTTCTGCTGAGGCCACGGAGCAGGATCTGGTCACTGTTCGGACCAACACACCTGATTCACACACTGTTGCAGGAGGAGGGGGGGAGTGTGGGGGTCCTTACCTTTGCCTCGAAGCAGACCCCATGTTTGAACACCTCCTCGTTGTGCATGGGGAGCCTCAGGTCCAGCGCGTCGTCCACCAGGTTGTATTTGGTGACTCCCGGCATGGTTCGGTTCGGCTCGGTTCGGCTGCAGACTTGTTTTACGACCGCGCTAGAGACCTGCAGATATGCGCACCTCCTCCCTCTCCTCCTCCTCCTCCTCCTCCTCCTCCTCCTCGGGGAGACGCGGGGGTCACGCGCGGGTTGAGGCTCCTCTCGCGGCTGATTGGCTGGCTGTTGGCTTAATTAAAGCGCTACTCTGGGATCGGCGGATGATGGAGCCGGACTCTGACGCTGACGCACGGACGACACGCAGCCGCCGCCGGGGTCCGGATGACGCACGGATTCTACACACGATCAAGAGTTTTTTCTTCTTCTTGAAGCATCAAACCTCCGGTTATTTATTTCATTTAGTTTCCTCCCAGAGGTGGCGATTTATAGATATATATGTAAAAATCTAAATGAGCCTTTAAAGCAAAAAAGGAGTGACAGAAGCTGCAGCTGCTGATTGTTTGTGTGACATCTAGTGGAAGCTGGAGGAACAACACTGATCCTGGAACCCACCCGCAAAAGTCAAGTTAAACTAGACATGGGTTTTTACGATGTAAAAACAAGTGTGCATTGCCATGTAGCATGGCTTTACCTGCAGCAGTGGACTTGCAGAATGAACTGTGACCAAGTTCAAATGTGTTTTCTAAACCAGCTTGTGCCTGTCAAGTCAGCAGGTGTTTGTAATAAGGGTAGTTGTGTGACAATATGAAGTTTGTAGAGATTTTCTGTTAAAGTTACTGTTGCTGGGTTTCGAACCCTGATCTCCTACATCAGGGCTATTCAATAGGCGGCCCGGGGGCCACATCTGGCCCGAGAGTGACCAATGTTTGGCCCGCCAATTGGTTCATTCATCTCTTAAGCCCAAACCCCCAGTTTTCGACTTTAATTAATATGTTCTTTTAGTTAAAAATAGACATGTTTGGTATCTACAGAAACATCAGAATCTTGGATAGAAGCTGGTAAAAACCATTTCTATGAACATCCAAGACAGTTTAAG